CGATTGGCTTTATGGTAGTTCATACGATAGCTATACACTCACAGAGAAACGTGTAAAAATTTGGAATCCATTGGGTCATTAGTTTTTGAGTTATCGTGCCCGCCATTCACAAAAGAGAAAAACGCGTTTAAATTTTGATAAGCCCTTTAGCCGTCACTTGATGCTGACACAATAAATCGGCTATATCTTCAAGAGTTATTGAGATTTTCTATTGAAACTTTGTAGGGACATTCTTGAAATAGTGTAGATTGGAATTAAATCAAAAAAAATTTGACCCCGAGGACGGGGGGTTCACTTAAAGCAAATCTCAATCGGACACTCGTTAATTACTCGTTAATTTGGAGCCCAATTAACATGAAGTCGGTCGAAAATATATATGGGCTATTCTACAAAATACATTTACGTCATTCTATTCTCAATTTGTACGTTGTATAAAATTTTGTGTTAATCTGACAAACATTACTAATTTGGTGCATAATTCACTTCAAATCGGACAAAAATATGTATGGAAGCTATATCCAAATCTATACTGATTTCAATGAAAGTTGTCACACATTAGACTACACAAACTTCAGTATGTTGTGCAAAATTTGGAAATATCCCGAATTAAATGTATTTTGAACTCGTTACCCAACCGAATTGACAGTAAATTGATATTTTGAAATTTTAGCAAAAAATTCCATCAAAAGTGAGAGGATATAAAATCTTTTTTGAAAAACTTGTCTGTATATGTTTACGTTTTTGGTATATCCTATCCTATTTATGATCCAATGGTCATGATCATTGTATTCCTGAACATTGTTCACTACACCTTGAGTTTAAACCACACTTTCCAATACCATTCGTTAGCGTTTCCACTTCATTAAAAATTCCATATTAGTGCATCGAAATGATTTTTTTACAAATATCCGAGATCCAAAGTATTGTCCTAAATACTTAACAAAATATTTAAACAACATTATATCCTAAATAAAAAAATTATTTAAAAACTTTTGGTCTGTTCCCGTACTGCAATAATCTACTCGATTTTACTATTTTCTTCGATATCATAAAGGAAAATTCGTTATCGTAGTAAAAACTAGTAGATTCTTGCAGTACGGGAACAGACCATTTGTCAACCAATTTATGGAGGCCATATTGGAAACTACTGCCACATGAATCCATTGCATGTTTGGCCATATAAGCGACAAAATATTTTGTTTTCATGGTTAACAAAAAAAATTTTCAATAAATAGAAATAAATAAAAAAATGCATTGTTAAGCCATGCTAATAAACCTGAATTTCAAAAACTCCTCCTTTAAAATATTTTTGCGTGGGTTACTACAACTTAACCTCTGTTGAAGATGTCAAGGTGCGATGACAATGTGTGGAGACAAAAAATAATAGCTAACATTATACAAAATGAAACTTTATTTCACCGTACAACATTAGGCAACACGATTGGCTACTTTTCAATGCAACTGATGTAAAAAATCCACTGCATTTGTAAATATTTTCGACATGCATAAAATAGTTAAACAAACGTCAAATTTTTAGATAAGCATAATAACAAATATATGGAAAATTTTAAACAAAACAAACAGCAGGTGAGATTGACATTGACTGGTCACATAGTTCAAATACTACTTAAGGGGACCCCCCCCCCCCATTCTCGGGGTCAAAAATTTTTTTTGACCCCGAGAATGGGGTGGGTTACAAAATTTCAAGTGAGAATCTCAAGAACTCTTGCCGATTTATTGTGTCAACATCAAGTGACGGCTAAAGGGCTTCTCAAACTTTAAACGCGTTTTTCTCTTTTGCGAATGGCGGGCACGATAACTCAAAAACTAATAACCCAATCGATTCCAAATTTTTACACGTTTCTCTGTGAGTGTATAGCTATCCTTATTTTTTTTTAACTTGGTTTTTGGTCAAAAATCGGCGATTTTCCAAAAATATCCGCCATTTTCTTAATTTTAGAGCGAAGTCAATAATCCTAGTTCATACGAGAGATAGACATGTACTCATTCTAACACCGTTGGAATTTTCGGATTCCGATGTTCAAGTGAGGAGTTATCATACCCGCCATAAAAAATAAAGATTTTTTTTAATTACAAAAAACAACAAGAAAGCAATAACAAAAATTTTTTGTAAATTATTTTTCTTCTCTTTTAAATCTTCAAATATACATGTGTAAAGTTACAAACCTTAACAAGCATTGGTATTGATTTACCAGCCCATTGAAAATATGGAAAAATTAAAATCTGGAATGGGTGGGGTTCCCTTAAAGCGGATTTACATGTGTGGAGATCTGGCAACACAGTTGTGGATTGAAGTAGTCGTTAAGCAACTGTCATAGATAGCAGATGTAATATTTATAAATTATTTTTATGTTGTCTCAGTAAATCTACAAATTGAATAAATGAATTGAATTGCAATCTACGGTGTTGTATTTCATGGTTTATCAGGGTATTACAACATGTAATATTTAATCATGATTAAAGGCTGAAGCAGGGTTTATTTTCTTAATCAGGCTGAATTTACCATGATTTATAATACAAATTTAAATCATCGTGCGGCTGGGTTTGTTTTTAATCACGATCGAAATCATGTTACTAACTAGATGTGACGCGGTTTTTGTACAAAAAAAAATGCTACTCTCTCATTATGTACACAAATTTGCAACTGTTTTGGCATGTTGTTTGTTTTCACATTTAACGGTTGTCAGAGGCAAACACTAACAATCAAAGCAATACAAAATTTATAGAATTTTTGTATTTAGGTGATTTTTACACAACTACACAACTATGTTGTCAGGGTTTTATAGCTTTGTGCAGTCCCAAGAGTTTGTAACGCCGCGATCCTAGACCCACCTTTAAGTATACCGATCGTAATATCTCGACTAGCTGAGTCGATCTAGAGATGTGTGTCCGTCCGTCTGTCCATTATAATTTGTAAACACGATGCAGGCCATAGTTATGGACCAATCTTCACGATTTCTGGGTTCTGCCCATTGAAGATCCCTATTGTTTTTGGTAAAGATCGATTAATATTTAGGGGATGAAATGGACCAAAAACTTAAATTTTGTCGGTTTTTCTGGTCGCTCCAGAGGCCGCAATTATGGCCCAAACATCGCGAAGAAGGGGATCGGACCAACGAATAAGCATCCCTTTTTGATAAAGATCGGTCGATATTTAGCGGGTCAAATGGACCCAGACTTTTGTGTGAAAAATTACAAAATTTGTATTCTATAGCGTATAGATTTACCCCCCGAAGGACATAGACCCAAGAAGTTGATAGTATGTCCAAGAGGAGTGGTTGTCCTTTAAATCGATTCCAATTTTATTGTCGTATGTACTCGGATGTGGGAGTTACACCTAAATATTTACAATGCATCGATTAATTGCTTGCTTTACTTACTCTTTTGTTCGGTAATCTTAAAGTGTCCGATTCAATGGTATTCGGTCACTGGCCAAAACATAAAAAACTTTTATTGTCATATGTACTCGGATGTGGGAGTTACACCTAAATATTTACAAGTGCTTAGGAATTCATTATCTATTCAGTAACCCATTACCACACTAGAGGGCTGAAATATTGCGCTGATCGCTTTGAAACTTTCCATGAGGATCCAGGTATGGTCAAGGACAACGCCTTTAGTTTTCGGTGATGAACAGATAATAATTTTGGGATGAAGTGGACCGAAAACTTAATTTTTTGTGTGTTTTTTCGAGTCGATCTATTGGCCACAATTATAAGCCGAACATCGCAACACAACCCACGGAGAAGGGAATATGGACAAGTAATTAAAAGGACTGTACTGAATATTAGTAACATCCGAAAAAATGTCTGTGTAGGAAGAGGTGCTGTTGACCTCTAATCGGGCAAAAGGAGGCAACTATCACGAAATATTGCCCAGGCTCGGAATAAAATTCCGCAGAAATTTAAAGTTCAGTGGTAGTTGTGTAGGGTATCGTATGTTCGGCCCCGTCCGACTATACTGCTCCGCTCACTGGTTTGTGTTACTTTCCACAAGATCACCGCATTGCAAAAACATTTCCATTGTTGTAACTTTTCTTTTCATTTTCAAATTGTGAACAAATATTTTTCAGCTGATCGACATTTAGATCATCATTAAAGGCATGTGTAAACAATTAGGGTGTATTTTTGGATTTCGTTAATCAAGTCGATTTAAAATCGTATATGTAAATGTACAGCTAATATAATATAACAAGATATACTAAATCTTATAAACATAAATTCTCAAGTAATTTACAATTTAAACACACGCTACAATGTAAACGTACTATAAATGACAGTAGTTAAATCCAGATTGCGGATATCACAGATTTATTGTAAAGTCAGTTCCATGTTCCATTTTGAATGATATTAAAGTCAAATAAATGTTACCTCATGTAGCGTATACAGTTATAATAATAAAAGTCAATATATATGTTAGTTTAATATATACTTATAAATCATTATACACATATACATGGTGTAGGCCATCAACAATTGAAAATACAACACACGAACTACCAATAATAATAACTTAACATAAAATATTTCAGCTATAATAAAATAATGAAACATTAACACCGCACAACAAACGACAAAAAAAAAAACAACTTCAACAAAATATACACATCTAACTGCTCATGTTTAAATTGGTTTTTGTGGTAAAGAAGCCAATGACTTGCATTGAATTCTTCGAACAATAGACAACGGATGGACAAATGGATGCTACATTTGCTAAAAAAAAACCTGTCTGTATACTCGCTGGCTCGTATAATGACAACAGCTATAAAACTAACAATAACAGCAACGGCACAGAAGTTCCAAACAAAACGACTATTAAGTAAACACTAATTAGTTAACAAATATCAACAATATTAACATTTGAATGGTCTTCATGCGATGATCCCAATACAATTGACACATTACCAGCTGTTAGTGTTTCAGAAAATAAAAAAAATATATTTGGTGTTCCTGCTTCGAAAAATTGCTTGCTTTACTTACTCTTTTGTTCGGTAATCTTTAAGTGTCCGATTCAATGGTATTCGGTCACTGGCCAAAACATTAAAACTGTTTAGCCTGAAGAAACGTTGCATGCGGAAACGATCCCTTGATGGTATAATTACGGGACGACCTTCGGCACCTTCACCGGATACCGGATTGAAGAGATTGATGTTGTAGTCATCTAAGAAAAAAACATAGAGAAAAATTAAATTATGTTTGCGCCAAAAAGTTGTAATATTTGGTAAAATGTAAAGAACTAATTAAAATAAATGTATGTAAGTATTAAAACAAAACCACATAAAGTCATGATTGTGTACGTAATTAGTGTAATTTTAATGGCTTCTGGAAATGTTTATAACAAGTAGACAATATAATAATTTTGTTTTGAGCTTATCTCTTTTGTATTTCCTAGCTGCGGATATTCTTTGTGTTAGTTTGCAATTAAAAAAAATATATATATATATAGCATGTCAAACAAACTACTCTAGTTTTATTGTTCCTATTTTCACCGTGACATGTCTCTTAGCCTGTAGAGTGTCCAAACCTCACATATCGTTATAATTAGAAAAACTTTTTGAAAGATAAAAAATCCATATAAAATTGATATACGCCGAATTTAAATAATTTGGAATACTCAGAGTTGTTCTGAAATCAGTTTTTGACGTTTTTAACATTTAACACATCTTTGCAACAATAAATGTCAAAAATGGACATATATTTTTTAATATTAGTCAAAGAACGTTTTTGAAAGAACATTAACATGAAATTTGGGATGCATTTTTAAAAGAACATTAACATGAAATTGGATGGACTAAAATATGTGATCATTATCTAAATGTGACCCGAGTTAGATTAATCCATAAACATATAATTCTGCAACCTATACTAAATGTTTCATTTGGACATATATAAAATTATGTAAATCGATTTAAAGCAAATCCCAATCGGACACCCGTTTATTTTTTAGTGGCCAATTAAAATAACTTCTACAAAATGAAATTACGTCACTCTATGCTCAATCGTTGTGCAAAATTCAGACAACACCAACTTTAGTACTTTGTGCATAATGTTGTGCCAATTGGCCTAACTTTGGGTCTTTGGTGTGCCATTTATATAAAATTGGACGAAAATATATATGGGAGCTATATATAAATCTGAACCAATTTTTCCCAATTTCAATTGGGTTCGTCCTTGTGCCAAATAAATGAGTTGTGCCAAATTTCATTTAATTCTGATCATAGATGCTACCTGTACTTTGTTTACAGTTTAACATGCACAAACGGACGGAAATGTATAAATCGACTCAAAAAATGATTCTATGCATATTCTCAAAATGAACCACGTGTCTATCTCGTTTCCTTTTGGTTTTTTACAAATATGTGCACAACGACCCTGTACCACAGTGTGGTGGAGCGAAATGAGGTGGAGCGAATATTGCCTGTCAACTATTCGTTGCAGTGTTTTATCGACAGCAAAATAGAGGTTTCGTATTACCGTGTAAAATGCCAAAACTGGTATTTAATTTCAAAAAAATAATAAAACATATTTCCATCGGTCAGTGAATATAATTTATGTTTTATTGTGTCTTAATATAAATCGCGAAATTTGTGTTCTTTGTTTATTTTAATCTTGTCTATTATAATTACACAAATTTAATATGTTTGAAGAATTTAGAATAATTACGCTAAAACAATTAAATGCAAAGTGGTCATTGTCAAAAATTCAATAGAAATTCACAAGATTTATTGCTTTATTTGCAAATCATGTTTTTTTTACTCTTTTTGTTTCAAAATAAATATTGTTTTATTGCAAATTCACAGCAATTAAGTCAATCCACATCTAAGACATCAAATAAATTAAATTGTTATGTAAAAAAATTAAAAAGATTTTAGACGACTTGGATAATTTACTTTTGTTTATAGGATAGGGACAATTACATTGTTTTGCAATGAAACTAAGCCCTAAAATTTATTAAAAACTTAAATCTTTAAAAATTGGCAAAAATAATTTAAAGAAATTCCGGTGTTCTATTTTTTTGCCAACAATTTGTAAATATTCCCTCTCAACAATCATTCATTATGTCCAAAAATTGTACGCATATCTGTCAAATGTGAATAATCCTAAAGGTATGAAATTCTCAATTTCATACATACATAAATACTTAGTTTTGTTTTGGTCAATTATGCAGTGATTAACTCTTAACTAACCAACTGTTGAACGACAATCCCCCCATGGAATGGTATGGCGTTAATTGTTTGTTTGTCATTGTTAATAGATGCGTCATGCGTCTCAATCATTCATTGGCTATTTAAAAAGAATACCAATTTCTTTGTCGTTTTTACTTTTACTTGTGTGTTTTGACAGTTAAAAGTGCAAATTATAGAAATCTACTGTGTTGTCCGTAGCTGATGTTGGTGTTGTTGTGGTTGCGATTATTTGTGTTGTCTACTGGATGATTTGCTATGGGTAAACAATAAACAATACCATATTCGGATTACATACCAGCGGTCATATTGCCAAATATATCACCTTTGCCTATATAATGGGCCACAACATTTTTTATGGGCCAAACAGAACGTCTTTTTGGCGGTGGCTTCGGCTGTCTGCAAAACAAAGAGAAGAAGAACAAAAAGAAAACAAAAAAACCAGTTGATTAAACAAAAATCAAAACAAAAGGCAATCGAAAAAGAAACTAGTAAAATATTTAAAACAAAACAAAATTGTAGGGGAGAAAACAGTTGTTCACAGATAGTAGTATCCATTATGTATGTATGACGGAAGATACTCGTATATACACAGATAGAAGAGAGATGATCATATATATTATTTTGCAAAATATTCGTGCAAATGTGAGGTCATGAGGCTAACAAAGAATTCTGTGAATGAAGAAATATTCATCAGAAACTCTCGTTAACCCTTAAATTTACACAGGTGTTACTTAATTCAAGCAGCACTATGATCATCTTAACGCGCAGTAAATCATCATCTGCTATGGTATAATTCTGTAGTATAAAAAATGTTGGACTTGGTTAAATTTTATACATAACACTGTGTTTTGTCCCTGCATTAACATTATATAGTGGTAGTTCGGGCTTTGCCAGTAAATATAATTACTACATCAGTTTTGAAAAAAAAAAACCTATAATCCTAAGATCGTCGAGGCCAGTTGGCGCACCTCAGATAATAAGAATTAAGATCAATTCCCACACAATTGCTACAGTGGCCTCCCAGACTCTGGGGTGTTAGGAGACTTCATACCCATCAATCAGGGCACCGACTGTATTCCTTGTAGATACTTGGGCGCCTCAGAAAGTTTTGGCTGAACACATACTAATAGTATCAATACAATATAGTGGTGTATCAATACAATAGACCAAAATAATGTTTTGGAATCCCTTGATCTTCTAAATAATAACTGATCATCTCACTACAGAAATCGTAATTTGCCGATATTCAACATTATGTAAAATATGTTTGAGTTTAAAGAGATATTTATTCTAAAGAAAATACTTCGATTTATTGAAAAATACTTCGATTTATTGAAAAAGTCTCATAACGATAAATTCTCAATGAAAGTAAAAAAAGGGCTGGCTAAACCTTTTTCACACGTTATTCAAAACATATCAAATGTAATTCGAGAATTCCATTCGCAATTTATAACATATCAGTTGTAATTCGAGAATTTCATTTGTAATTCATAGAATACCTTTCGAATTCATGGAATTCTATTTGAAATTCAAAGGATTGCACTTTAAATTTATAAAATTCCATTTGAAATTCATAACATTTGATTTGAAATACATAACATTTCATTTGTTATTCATAACATTAAATTTTAAATTCAATAAATATTATTAACATGCATGAATATCAATATTAAAGAATATGTATTTGTTTGAAATGAATTGTTACGAATTACAACTGAAATGTTATGAATTACAAGTGAAATGTTATGAATTTCAAATTGAATTCTCTAAATTGTAAATTAATTTTTTTCAAGTTCAAATGAAACTCTACGAATTTCAAATGGAAATATTCGAATTAAAAATGGAATTCTTTTAATTTATAATGCATCTTTTTTGAATTTCATATGAAAAAATTAAAATTACAAATGAAATGTTGCGAATTACCAATTACATTCTCAAATTACAACTGAAATCTTATAAATTGCAAATTGAGTTTTCGAATTACTATTGAAATTCTCGAATTGCAATTGAAATGTTTTGAACAACATTTGAAAGATGTGTAGTCACTATGGATTACTTAAGGGTTAATAAAAGTAATTGCTACACAAACTCCATACTGAAAAACGCAAAAGTCAATGACACCGTTGTGGTAGTTTATGTTAACATAAAACGAAAGCTTATTCACCTTCTGACCTTCACCTTCAATAAACTTATTGATTTGAACTCTTATGATACAATTTGGTCAGTTTTTTAGTTTTAGAGAAAAAATATTTTTCTTAGTTTATATCAGAATAAAGGACAATTACCCAAAATAAGTGCTTAAATGCTACTTTAATCTGTCACTTCATTTAGCGACTCGCCATTGTAACGAAACAACGTTAAACCATTTTGGACACATCAATTCTAAAGCATATTCGATTTAGGTCTACTTCATATATTTTTTGCATTCCTATCGCTGTCAATAAGATGGAACCGAATGGACCGGAAGGTCTCCTGGTGTTATACACCCGCGAACCAATTATATGTAATAGTTTACAACACAATTTTAGAAATATTTTGAAAATATATAAACTATGTTGCCATTCAAAACCACTGTTCAAACAGCTGGAACGAAATACCTCATCTCAAGTTAACTGTATTATAATAATAATAATAAAGTGCCAACAAATAGTGAAGAAGACCAGATTGAATGCAAAACACAGAAATACAACTGTATAAGTTAGTTGTTGTATGTATTTCTTAAGCGTTTCTCAATGAACGGACGGCTCTATGGATGGTTGAACGAGGAAACTTACATATATGCCTACATACATATGTATATACTTATATACAAACCTGCCTACAAAGTGGCAAAACAACATACATACATATGTACGAACTTATAGTAAATTGCAATTCAATTGCAATATTGAGTTGGAATTGACGATCGTTGTCGTTTTTGGTAAAACAGTAATGTCCAAACTTTGGCCTTATTGTTCTCGATTTCTCTTTATTGTGAGAATTTTTAAAGGTTTTTAACCTGTATTGCATATTTAAAACATATCAACAAATAAACAAAATATCCGAAGCTAGAAACTGATTCAAACAGGTTTTCGAAGAAGCGAATGTTAATTAATACAATTTCAAAAAAAAAAAAAAAAATAGTGGATAGGCTCGATCTAAAATTAAAATAAAAATTTGAAAAGAAGTGAAATTTGATATGTCTTCTTCTTGTCTATAACTACGTAGATGTGAACTGAATATTCAGTTTTTGAACCTGTAAATAATTATAGATTGTTTGTTGAATTCTTATTGTTGCAACAAACAGCAGTTCTTTTTGACTTCCATGATGATGCTATCTTAGCGTAACCATATTTCTTGGCATGACTTGTTTTACGTTAAACTCGGCAGTTTAGAATGACAAACGAATTTAATTTGTCATGCAAACCTAATGCAATAAGATGAAATACTCCATGGGAAAATAATGCACATTGGGATAGTGTTGCATTTATCATTTCCGCATTTTTTGCGGCCTTTATTTGTGTTAATTGAATTTTAAGTTTGTGGTAAATATTCGAGATTTAAGGTCACATGACTATAGATTTGTAGAATCTCACCCTGGTAATATCAACATTAACTGTGGGACTTCCAATATTTGAATTACAAATTTGATTTGTAATTCATTACCAATCGATCAAGTTTACAAAAACAAAAAAAAATATATTAAAAAAGCGTATTCCAATAGACTTTCTTAAAATCCCGCAATTAAACAACTTGAAAAATAACAATGAATTCATAAAACATTTGCATACATTTATTGCATACGCTCGCTCTATTTTAAACGACACTGCATCTGGTTTTAAACAAATGACACTCAAATTCGTGGTATTGTTTTATCAATCGATACATATTCGGAATGAATTCGTCACCAATTAACATCACAAAAGTAGATATTTATGGACGTCCCTGAAGATGGTTTATAGATGGATGCTAGCCGTAATAAATTATATACAGACAAAATGTAAACAACAGTGTTGTCCAAGCCACAAATGACCTTGAACGTAAAATAATAAAAACAGACAATTAAGGTAAAGTCGTATGGAAAACAAGATGCATTAGCAAAAATTTAAAATTTCGTATTGGTTTACGATACTTAAGTTTATGAGCAGGGAGTATATTGGTATGGTATCCTGTATACTTTGGTATGGCTTCATCAATATTAAAACATTCGGCACAGATATTTATGTGCAATATTTAAGGGCTTTGGGGATCATCCATTAATCAAGAAGAACCATTTGGTCTTAGGTCCAAAAAATGCTACAAAGACCTGTTTTGGCATCAGGAATCCTTTAATAATATGCATTTAATCATAGCGTTTTTCATCACAAAGTTAAATACAGAACTTGTTTTAATTGCTGAAATATTACTATTTAAATAAAATATTAAAACATTCGGCACAGATATTTATGTGCAATATTTAAGGGCAATATAGAGGAATGGAACATGCATTTAATCATAGCGTTTTTCAACTTCTTGTTTTTTGGAGTTAATCGATATATGCACTAAGCGGCTCACATAAAAATAGGTTAAAAAGACCTATTTAATTGATGCGTCCGTCTAGCACAATCTTTAACATATACCGATTTATTTTTAACAATCTCAATATTGCAGTATTTTTTTATGCATTTCACATCACATTTCGGAAATGCTAAGGCAATTTTTTAAAGTTCGATAGAGGTCATGATGATACCGCACATTTTACAACAAGTTTCCAATGACCAAACATCAATTAACCTTCGAATTGTATCCACAATTTAAAGATTTTCCAATAGAAGAGGTCAAAATACAATACGAAAACAAGATCCATTGTGATGACCTTTTAACAGTTCTGTTCCGACGTTAAAAATACAAATTCTTATTATTTAGCATTTTTCGATCATCAATTAACCAAAAATAATAATTTACATTTACATTTTTAAAAATTAAATTCATTAATTACAAAACCACAAATATATTGAAATAATAACAATAACAACAACATGTGCGTGTGCCAGTCGTTTGGCCATGGCTGGGTGCGAGCGAGATTGATCACTTTCAAAATTCATAAAGCTTTATATGAATCCATTGTTGTTACTTGGAATTATGTCTATGATTTACATTAGTATTTCCATTGTAAATGTGCATTAACACTCGCTGTTGATGTTGTTGTTGCTGTTGTCATAGCTTGGTGATGGCTTAATGCCGCTTTTGTTTACTCAAGCGTGAGGGCCACCATATATATTTTGGTAAATTCATTCGTTGGTTGTTGGTCAGTAAAACAATAACAACTCGCTGCCACATTTGGTGTTTGGTGGTGCATTACTTGCATTCTTGTTTTGTTTTGTATTTAGGCCATTATGAAACTTACAACTGTTCCTGGTTAACTGACTGCATACTAGTCACATACAAGTTGATGCTGAAGGCAAACATAAAGAATGCAAAAAACAACAGGAAGAGATACAGCAGCCATAACTTCTTGAGCTGTTGGAACCGTAGACCCATTATGTTACGTTTAAAAAGACTTCTTCGCGGCGATAATGGCGTAATTTTGAACGAATTATTTGTCGAAGACGACGACGGCGACAATGATGACCACTGGCAAGCAACAAACCCGTCCCGTTAATACACGGCATAAAACTTTAAAACTTAGCCACGAATAAATTAACCGGCAATCGACACTGTGTTGGGCGAGATGTGTTTTCAATGACCGTTAACTGTGGAATGGGAGACTTTGCGAACGTCGCGCTCACTTATACAAATGATATGGTTCGTTTGGTGTGTTTTGTTTCTTCACTTATAACTTCGATGCAAGCGTATATGGGCTCTCAACAACCGGCAGTAGCTATTGTATGTTTATTCCAGAGAAGTTGATCAAGAAAACTAAAAATGATTGGGAACATGAAGTAAATATTTTAAATTTTGATATCTCACAGAAAGAGAGACAAGAAACTTTATGTGAGAATGAGACTTAGCTGTAGGGCACTTTAAGAACGACTTATAATAGCAAATGAGAAGGTTTTCATAGACGTAAATATTTTAAACGTTTTGTAAACAGACATAAAGAGAAAACAGCAATTTTTCGATCCTTGAATACTAGATTAGGGATTTTTGTGGCATTAATTATTAAACATTGAATTATATAAAGTGTGATTGTTTGGTTATCTTTTTGGCAACACTGGTTTAAACAAATCAAGCACTGTCAAACATCTTCAGTTTGGTATATAACCATGAATCGTCTTACAAACGAACAACTCTTGCAAATAATTATAATTTTATTATCAAAATTAGTGCTCTGTTAAGTTAATGATAACCACCAAATTATCGATTCATCGCCGTTCGCAACAATTGGCCCGCTGTTACTTAACAACGTGGAAAAATTTGCAGAAGAATTTAAGTGTGAGGCCTTTTAAAATGCAGCTAGTGCAAGAATTGAAGCCGAACACAACGCAGAATTTGGGATCCTTTAGATCATGCACATCAGTACTTGTGTGAGACAATACTTACTATTTTGAGACAATAAATGAAAAAATATAAAATTGATTTTCAATATAGCTTGTGTCTGATGACCTTATTCTATAGAGGCTATAAAAGTTCAATTTGGATATAATCCTTTACAATGCAAAACATACGAGGCTCTATCAAGATTTCAAACACATACATAGAGGCCTGCACGATTATAAAAAATACGTTGGGGCTAAAAGTACGAAGTAAAATGAGTTTATTTTTAAAAATCGAACATCGAAAATGGAATTAATAGAAATAGGATCAAGTCTAGGTAATGGCCCCAACGCTAATTGTTTTTAAAATGTTTTCCACATATAGTCCTTGGGGTCCTGATTACAACGGTATAAATTTTTTCTGGGAATTGGTATTTCCGAAGGTATGGGCCTCCAAGGTTCCGTTGGGAACCTTTTATTTTCTCATGATTATTTTGTGGGTAGTGTTTGTGTAATCAGAACTTCAACCGCTTTAAATTGATATCCATATTGCCTTAGAAAATTTTAAAAATCATGAGAAAATACAAGGGTCCCAATGGAACTTTGGAGGCACACATCTCCGGAAATACAGATTATATATACAGCTGAGCTATATTATAGCGATCCGATTTGTTTGATATTCAGAAGGAAACCAAGTTATATGATTTTTGAACCTTTCTTTTTCATAAGGTCTGCTAAAATATAACAAAACATAAAAAAAATAATTCGCGGTGATTTTTTACTTATTCAGTAAACCGAACATTTAACGCATTCTTTCTTCCACTTGAAATTATTTTTTAACTGGTTTAAAATTTACCGCCACGTATTTCCGCTCTTTAGGCATATCTGGTCGATGTTACATTTATAACAAAGAGCTACCAATTTAAGTGGATTGCAATAGCTCAGGAAGAAGAAACCAGCGTGCAACTCTGTCTCAACACTGTGGCATTCACACGGGCAGTGTCCGTGTGTGTCAACAATGCAGTTCTCACGCATTCTCCATCCACCTCATTCGTAAATATTTCGTTAACCCACTTTGATTCTTCTTTATCGGTCATTTTGTCTTCTCCCCATTCGTTAGCAAGAACGTTTTTCAATTTTCCTTCACCCAACATCGCCGATGATTAATGACGTGAATATATATATAAACTTCCCACTCTCACATTGATTTCGTTATCTCTCACAAAAATAAGGGAATAAAACACGCCACACGCACATAATATTAATTATTAATTGTATTATTCTTTTTGTATTTTTCTTTTACTTTTGCAAAACAAACAAAATATTCACAACCAAAACAATCTGAAAACAGAAAAGCGAGGTAAAGCAGACTGACAATAACTCGCTAACAAAACAGTCCAAAGGGGAACATGCGAAAATTATGACAACACGGAATGCCGGAAAATGAAATTCACACCGCATTGATTGCAGCCTTGCATTTGAGTGACGTTTACAGTTGAGCTAATGAATTATTTAGAATTTTCTCTTTAAATAGTTGGTATTTAATTTTTTAGAAACATATTTGATTTATCGTTAAAGATGTATATAGTGCAGATGTATATAGTGCACTGTAAAAAATTAAGTTCCTGGCAAACCTTTTATCAACTTTCGTGTGAAAGAGCATCATATAAATAGCCTTAATACCATTCAAAAACTCCGTAAAGTTTTAAAACCCAAAAATAAGGCATCTGCGGCAGGACTTTATGGTAAGTCATATATCTGACTTGTCAAAAACTAGTTTATTAACGGATATGAACACCGCATGGAATAACTGTGAAATAAAAGATGAATGAAGGGAAACAAAAAATGTCGCAATTCCCAAAAGAGGAAAATACCTCGAACTGATAATCAATTTTAAATTGAACTGATATGTGTTTGCCTCGTACAGATATAATTAAATTTATGCGATAGAAATATAGCATTTCCACATTAAATGAAACCTTTTACAAATTAAATGAACCCTTTTCCAAATTAAATGAACCCTTTTCCAAATTAAATGAAACCTTTTCCAAATTAAATGAAACCTTTTCCAAATTAAATGAAACCTTTTCCAATTGAAATGAAACCTTTTACAAATAGAATGAAACCTTTTCCAATTGAAATGAAACCTTTTACAAATAGAATGAAACTTTTTCCAAATTAAATGAAACCTTTATTCTTATCTAAGGAAATATAATATTTGCAGTAATTTTAAACCAATATTTGAAAATTAAATCAAAGAATATGAACAAATATAGTTGTATGGCTATGTAATTAACATAAATATTCTTTAATTCGGTGTGATTTCATTTAATATCTTTACTACATAAAACTAAATAGTAATACAAACTGGGGTATTTCTTGACATTTTAAGAAATATAGCATTTCCACATTAAATGAAACCTTTTACAAATTAAATGAACCCTTTTCCAAATTAAATGAAACCTTTTCCAAATTAAATGAAACCTTTTCCAAATTAAATGAAACCTTTTCCAAATTAAATGAAACCTTTTCCAATTGAAATGAAACCTTTTACAAATAGAATGAACCCTTTTCCAATTGAAATGAAACCTTTTACAAATAGAATGAAACTTTTTCCAAATTAAATGAAACCTTTATTCTTATCTAAGGAAATATAATATTTGCAGTAATTTTAAACCAATATTTGAAAATTAAATCAAAGAATATTAACAAATATTATAGTATGGCTATGTAATTAACATAAATATTCTTTAATTCGGTGTGATTTCATTTAATATCTTTACTACATAAAACTAAATAAATAGTAATACAAACTGGGGTATTTCTTGACATTTAAATAAATAATTATTTAAGAACAAGAATTGAATACCCGGTCCTAAATGCGAAATACATATTTGACTTAATAAATTGTTGATTATAAGGTAACTGCTTATCTTAATGAAGGGGTTCCCGACTTGCAGCTTGTGGGATTTTCAAAACCATGTCCATAACGTAGTTAGAACAATCTTGCCGAGTAAGCTTTTGAATACTTCGCTCGATTACATCAACAATGTTATGTTCCATTGAAACGTCACACATCTCAGCTCTTGCATATAATTTTATTTTTTTTTGAAAATGCATTTTCAATTGGATTTAGCATTGGAGAATAAAGCGGTAAGTATTTAAGGTAGCATCTTTTGGATTCGATCAAATTTTTTATGTCATGTCGCTTGTGTATTTGAGCGTTATCCATTATCAAGAACGAATTTTCCAACTCTAAATTGATTTTCTCCAAAAGACTTTCTAAAAATAATTTAAATCCGTCTGCATTGACACTGGAATTAGAAATGATTGTGTGATTGGGGTATCCCCAATATTCATTGAACGTTGTTGGGGTATCCATTTTGTAAAGTCTTGAGTATATTTTTGTCTCAAGCCTAATTTTCTATAGTCATTCATTCGTTCTATTTCAGTAGAGGCAATCTTCAACGTAATTTTTAATTTCCGTAATCCATTTTCTATGCAGCTTGTGGAACTATTTATATCATTTTCTCTCAACAGTTTAGTTTTTATGGCTTTGAGGGTAATTCCAGGTTGACTTTCTATATAGAACTCGATCAGACTTAAAACTTGTGGTGTCAACAACTTAGTTCTACGCTTATTTTCCTTCAATGTTCCAAAATTTTGTTTGTTATTACTTCACATTGTCGAGAGTTTACTGTTTTGGATGTTCACATAATCGAGAGTTCACTGTATTTAAAAATAGCAACGTTTAAAATAAATGCGAACCTGATTTTAGCTCGGGAAGCTCTGATAATTGGGAACCTGAGGAAGAATCAATATCCTCGCCAAGTATTGCAAGTGGAAATGCTCCAGAACCTACCGAAGCTACATCTACAAGACCCCGAAACAAATTGGGTCAGTATAACAAAAGACATGAAATTGTTATTATTTAAATTCTATGAAGAGGGGAGAACCATTTCCGAGGCTGCAAATTTAACCTGCATAAAAATAAATTCCGAAAAAAACATTTATAAGAAGATACAAACAAAATTTTGGAACATTGAAGGAAAATAAGCGTGGAGGAAATAGAATTAAGTTGTTGACACCACAAGTTTTAAGTCTGATCGAGTTCTATGTAGAAAGTCAACCTGGAATTACCCTCAAAGCCATAAAAACTAAACTGTTGAGAGAAAATGATATAAATATTTCCACAAGCTGCATAGAATATGGATTACGGAAATTAAAAATTACGTTTAAGATGGCCTATTGAAATAGAACGAAAGAATGACTCCAGAACATTAGGCTTGAGACAAAAATATGCTCAAGACTTTACAAAATGGATACCCCAACAAGGAGAAAAATTAATATTCATTGATGAGTGTG